CTCATGGAGAGGAAATGTAATTGTGTTCCCCTTGGTATGATGTATTTTTGTCATTTTCATTATCTTTCTTGGACACCAAAGTGCATGTCATTATACTTCATATAATAGGCTATTTTAATTTCTAGTGTGGTATAAAGGTGTAACCCTAAATATTAGTATCTAGTATCTAATACTGGTTGCATTAAACAGATGGCAGTTCTAAAGTTAAGACAACAGGTCAACTAATATAAATTTAAACTTATTTTTATTGGCATTTATTGAATTGTACAAGTAAGGATCTTTACTCTGATATTTCCCTACAAGGCATAGATTCATTTCTATCGTCACCTTCTGTGTGTGTGTGTGTGTGTGTGTGAGAGAGAGAGAGAGAGAGAGACAGAGAAAGAGAGAGAGAGAGGGAGAGAGAGAGTGTATGTGTGCACACAACATGGGGCTTGAAATCCGGGCCTGGGTGGTCTGAATTTTTGTGTTTAGGCTAGCAGTCTACCACTTGAGAGCTACAGCTCCACTTCCAGCTTTTTGGTGGCTTAATTGGAAATACAGTCTCCTAGACTTTCCTGCCTGGGCTGGCTTTAAACTGTGATTCTTAAATTTCACCCTCCTGAATAGCTGAATAGTAGGATTATAGCATGAGCTACCCCAGGCTATTGTTTTTTCTTATCTCTAGCTCTCCTCCCTTCCTCTTTTCCTTTCTAGCTCTAGTAGTACTTCAAGGTTTACTTAGCTACACCAGAAAGAGAATAATTTTGTAAAGTTCTAAAACTAGTTGATTTGCTACAATCAACCAAATTTTCAGGTTCTGAGAAGTATGAGTAATGACTGTTTATTAAGCCAAAATACAAGAATCGAATATAGGAACTGCAATGTGTGTATGTGTATGTGTATGTGTGCATGGGTGCTTGTGTGCAAGATGTATGATCAGAACAGAGCAATTTTGAGTTTGTATTATATGTTTCAGATCCCTAAAACTTATTTCAAATGTTTTATTATATAACCCACTGGGGTGGATTCTGAATAAAATCACTGGGTTATAAGAAAGGATAGAAAAATGAAGAAATATGTTTCAAAATCTCTTTAGTGCCTATTCCAGAAATCTACACACTGCTAATCTGGGGAGACATTTCCAGTTTTAAAGATAAACCATAACTTCTTTTAAGTGTATAGAATTTTAGGCTGCTAAAGGAAACATATCAAGAGTGACATCTCAACTCTTAGAATTCAGGAGCTCTAGGGGCAAGGCAATTCTTGGGAAAGATACTTAGATATGTATTTTGAAGCAGTAGTAAGCGAAGTCCCACAATGGATAACTGAAAGATCAGCTTATTTTAATTTTTTTTTATTTTTATTTTTCTGAACAAAGCAAGCAGTACACTTTCTCCTTAAAATTATGTTTTCCCAATGGCCAGGTCTAGAAGAGGCTGAAGAACAGCCTTCAGATTGCTGGACCAATGCAAGACTTTTTCTTTCTTCTAGAATTTAAACTTTATATACCTACATTGAATCAAGTGGTTTTTTTTTTAAAAAAAATTATCTCTAGATAGTTGCACAGAGGAGTTAACCATTAAACACATCAGTTCATAAATACAATACATCTTGCTTAAGGATATCCCTTTTATCATATTTCCCCATTTCTGTCAGTCCTACCCTTTCCCTCCATTTTCTTAATTTCATGAGATATGTATTAAATAAAATTAATCCTTCCACTCTTCATTCACCTACATTCCCTCTCTTTTACCCCCTCTTTTCATCTTTTGAGTATCTGTTTCCTGGTATTCATTTTGTCGAACGGTGAGTTAGCCTTCCTAAGGAAATTCATCATTTGGATTTTTGCTTGAAAATACCATCTTTTGGTTAATACACTTGCACATAGCCCCAAGTATTTGCCAGTACATTGATAAATTAGTTCTAGCTTCCACATATGAAAGAAAACACTTGTCCTTTGTCTCTTTGAGCCTGACTTTTAATGTAAATTTTTCCAATTTCATCCTCCACTAGCTCCATGAGTTCAGTCCTATTGTGTCTAGCTGATATAGAAGGAAATTGATCTGTAAGGTCCTGTGATGATTGTGACAGTTTTGACAAGTGACTAAGCTAAACTATGAACATAATCACAAAACTCACACTTCTCTGTGGATACTGTATATAGAATCTGTGTCTGTTATGTTGCTTTTGTCTTTTTTTTTTTTTTGGTCAGTTGTGGGACTTGAACTGGGCGCTGGGCTGGGGACAGCCTGGGCCCTCTCCCTGAACTCTTTGGCTCTAGCACTTTGAGCCACAGCTCGACTTCTAAGTTGCTAGTATCTTGCAGCAAGACAGATGTGGCAGAGATGTCATCATGTTATCTTAATGCTCCTTTTTACAGAGAAGGCAAAGATTCCAACTATTTTCATATAATTAATCTGAAGCCTAAAAGCCCTGGGTTCATAATTGTCTAAAAGCTCACATGGCTCAAAGTGCCACTAGCATTCAGAACCACTGATTATGTGAATATGGTCATATAAAATGATGCTTAGCTATAGGAAATCCAAGAAATGGAAACTAAAGGTCTTCATTGCACTGTTTGTGGTTCTTTTTTGTTTTTCTTTTTTTTTTTTCTGATTTATTCCCTTCTGTCACCTTTTTATTTTGGTACCTTTTGTCTTGCTTTAAGTGTATCTGGTTTGGGAAGGGGAAAGGGAAGCACTGAAATGGTAGGACAAAGAGTGAACTGCTTCAGCAGTGATACTCACTAGACACTATGTTGGAAACAAAACTATATACTTCGGTGAGGGAGGAGAGTTGGGAGGGAGAAAATGAGGGAGGAAGTAACACTGTTCAAAAAGAAATGCACTCATTTCCTGACTTACGTAACTGTAACCCCTCTGTACGTTACCTTTACAATAAAATTTTAAAAATGGAAAAAGACACTCATAATAGTTCGAAAAGCAGTGATTTGAATTCAAAATGAATCATGGACTTAAATGTAAGACAGAAACTATGAGGAAAAACTATGGGACAGAATCTTTAAGATATAGAGTTGGGAAAATCATTCTTAGACTTGACAATAAAAGCATAGTCCATAAATTTTTTAAAAGCTGTTTAATTTTGACCATACTGAAATAAAAAAAATATTGATCCTGGAAGAAAATGATTAAGAGGTAAAATTCAAAGCTACAGAATGGAAAAAAATGTATTAATCAACATTTCTGACAAAGGAATAGTATCTATAATATATAAAGAACTATCAGCATAAAAACTTTCCCATAGCTAATTATTAAATAAAATGAAGATACAGTTTACTAAAGTGGTATTTTGTCTTGGGTAAGCACAAGACAAAAATGTTTGATATTGTTAGATGTTAAAGATGGCAAGGGAAATTATCTGCGTCTTAACTGTGAATTGTGAATATCTTGATTTAGATATTGTAGTTTTGCCAAAAGTCTTTCCAATAGGGAAAAACTAGGTAAAGAGAATAAGGTATCTTGTTACATATTCACATTGTAATTCTTGTAATTGTGTGAGAATCAATAATTGTTTCAAAATAAAAATGTTTAAGTAAAATATTTAATTTGTTATCACTTAATTGTGATTTAAGAGAGCCAACCATGTTAAAATAGATCCTCTACAAGGTTAAAATGAAATTATCAGCCATGGGGAGTTGTGATGAATGCCCCAAATCCTAGCACTTGAGAGCCTAAGATAGGAAGATCACAAGTTCAGGAGCACTTGGGCTATATAGTAAGAATTTGTCTAAAAAACAAACAAACAAAACTTGTCAGCTAGGCTCCAGTTTTCATCTCCAAGTGTAACATCTAGAGTTTTTACATTTAGTTTCACATTCAGTTTAGTCTTTATTCAGTAACAGCAGTATTAACTCTGTGTGGATTTTTAGACTGAAGACTTACACTGCTTGCTGCTGGTTATCCTGAGCCACAACCAGTTCCTTGCTAGGTAAACTTCAGGGGCACTTGTTCCTTGAAAGCAAAGTAGGGTTTTCTAGCTGGATAGACTTCATAATCTCTTTTTAAAATAACCATTGAGGAGAATTTCACCATGGCTATCTTCTGCTGAGTCAAAGTGAGCCATCTATACTTAGGGAGAGAGGGCTATGCAAGGATATTACCAGGAGAAAGGGAGGTTTTAGAGGCTTCTCTTAGTGTAGAGGCTGAATGTGTATTTATATACATTTCTTTAGAAATCTTTTATTGAATTGGCACTTCATTAGGCATTGATGTATCCAGATTTTTACTTAATTGGGAATGTTTACTACTTTCTTAAGTACTTGGTTGGCAGTTGTACCATTTGATTTAAACATTGATAAACTAAGTTCTCCATTTATAGTAGGTCTTAAAACTAATGCTTTCTAGAATATGTTATTGAAAATATTTGAAAATAATATTCAAGCAGACTGGGAAACATTGCATCTTAGTTATATCAGGTATTTGAGAGGGGTATATGTTTTATTTCTTATGTTTCTAGGGAACTAGTTTTATTGCTATGTTTGTAAGGTAGTAATATTTAGAGGTCCATGCATGATCCTAAGTATAATCATTTGGGAAAATTTATGATCTAGAAAGAATTTTTTTCTAATGCAGTTTCTAATGTTATAAAAAATAATCTTTTCATACAACTTGTTAGTGCTCCGAACATGTTAGCTATCCTTTCAAATTAGAAAAAGTATTTGATCTGATTTTATTTTTTTAGACTAAATCCACTTAAGTTCTGGATGGCATAGCAAATACATTCAAAGTACAATTAGTAAATTCAGTAAAAGTTTAGATTTTATGAGCCTTTAAATAATTAACCCATCTTTACATATTAATTAAAACAATCCTCCTTTTGAAAAACCATTTCTTTATATTTTCATTGTTTGGTACTTTTTAGTGATTGCTCTGTGATTTCTTAACATTCCTCTTTATGGTGCCTCTTCTAATGACTGAAAAATCTTGCATATATGATTTTTAATTGCATTCCTCCTTCTGTGCCAAAAAACACCATAATTTATTCCTCTCATCAACAAAAAACCTATGCAATGCCTTACAAATGTCTATGTCATGCTTACAGTGAGACCCTGTTAATCTTCTCTGCATTATTGAATTTTTAGCATTTGTGCTGATAAAGTGAACACTAATTTCTTTTCTCTTAATATTGGTTGACATTTCTTTTGTGATGGAAATTTCTTTTGTGGTTTCCCATATGATCTACCCAGGAGAATATTCTCTGTGCTGTTGAGGATAATATTTACTCTGAAGTTTTTGGATGGAATATTTAAAACCTCAGATTTAAGTTTAGTTTCTCTTCAATATGGGTGGCTACTCATGGTTTTCTTCTTTTTATTTTATTTACTTTGAATATGTCTTACCAATTCATTTTAAATCTGTGCATGTCCTTAGAAGTAAAGTTAGGATCTTTGTTGTTGTTACTGGTTGGGACTTGAACTCAGGGTCTGGGTGCTGTCTCTGACACTCTTTGAGCCACAGCACCTCTTCCAGTTTTTGAGTGATTAATTGGAGATAAGAGTCTCACAGAGACTTTTCTGCCAGGGTTGGCTTTGAATCATGATCCTCAAATCTCAGCCTCCTGAGTAGCTAGGATTACAAGCATGAGACACCAGTGCCCAGCTAGTTAGTTCCTTATAAGCAGTATAGAGTAGTTTATTTTAAATCTATTAAGTCATTTTTCCATTTTATTCCTTTTTGTTTTCTTTTTCTCTTTCCTTCTTTCTTTCTTTTTTTTTTTATCTGAGATGGGCTCTCAAACTTGGTTGGTTGGTTGATACCTGATACCTGATGTTTTTGCTCATTGGCTAGCACTTTATCAACTAAGCCATATGTAACCACATTTACTATTTTAATTCAAGAATTTAATCCACTATATTTAAAGTTTTTATCATAAGTAGACTCTTATTACTGCCATTTTGTTACTTGTTTTCTATTATTATTATTATTATTTGCCATTCCTTTCTTCCTACTCTCTCCTCTGATTTTCCTTGTGGTTATGGGATGTTCTCAAGTAATACATATTAACTTTTAGTGGATCTATTACAGATTTTTTTTCCTGAGGCTTAAAACAAACACTTTTTATTATAGAAAGTTATTGGAAAGACTAACAATTTAACATTAGTTATATAGTTAGGAAAATAAAAATTTTAAAGTAACAAAAAATATGACTAACAAATTTCTATATTTACATTTCATTTCTTCTCATATTGTGAATTTTGGTGTCCAACTTTATATCTTTCTCCTAACATACTAACATGGATTTTAATTGCATTTCAACCTTCATCATTAAGAGATAAAGTATTTATACATCATGTAAATAATAATAGAGTATTATGACTTTGTCAGCATAGTTACACTGAAATTCTATACACAAAATTCTATACTGAATTTTGTATTGTTAATGTTTTTTCTTACTCATTGGCATATCTGCCTTTCAGTTTGAAAATTATTTGGTATTACTTATAGAACAGACCTGGTGATAATAAGTTCTCCCTTTTGCACTTCTAAAGAACAGCATTGCTATATGTTATTTTTGGCTTGTGAAAATCTCATTCTACTCACATCTGGCTAGTAAGTTTTCTGCAGAGAAATCTTCTGTTGTTTCTTTAGAAGGCCTGGAAACCTTCATTTATTCTTTTCTCATTGAGACCTTGATTATCTCTTGGGGCCCACTGAAAATGACTGGTCACTTGTAATTTTCTCAAATCTGTATATTTTATTCTTTTCCAGGTTTAGGAAGTATTCTATTGTTACCTCTTTTACAAAACTTTCTACAAGTCTAGTGTCAAAGTCCTTTATAAACAGCAAAAACCCAAATAGTCACTCTTTTATTACTATTCTGAAATTATCATACACTTTTCCTACTGTTCCATTCTTTCATTTTTCTTGTCTGACTGTGCTTTCAGACACTCATCCTTCTTATTTTTATTTTTGAAAGCACTGAGATTTGAACTCAGAAACTTGTGTTTGCTTGATAGGCACTCTTACCTCAAAGCTATGCTTCTAGCCCTATTTTTCTTTTTTTTTTTTTTTTTTTAATTTTATTTTATTTGAGAACATACTGTACAGAGGGGTTACAATTACATGGGCAGGATAATGCATACTTTTCTTACCAAGCATTGCAGCCTCCTCCTTTGTTTACCCTTCACCTCCCTTCCCAGCCTCCCCCCTCCCCCCCACCCAATCATACCCCCCCCTCCCCCCCCCCACACCGACATTGTAAAGCTGGTTTTGACATGACATTTTGTACTTCTCATTGTTGCAACAGGTCCACCTGAATCCTTAAACGGCTTGTTTGTCCCCGTCTCCTCCACATGTTATACTGACATCAAATATAATGAAAGCGGGGGTTACACTGTGGGGGAGGGACATACAAAGCAACAAAGAAATAATCTTATAAATGCGTTAGAAACACATGCATGAAAGAAACAAAAACATTAAAATACATATTTGAGGTTCTAGCCCTATTTTTCACTAGTGACTTTTGAGATGAAGTCATACTTCCTGCCTGGTAACTCCTACCTATATTAAGGTGAGGCCTACCTATGTTAATCTTCCTATCATAGTTAGAATAACAGGCACACACCACCATGTCTAGCTCTCAGTTGAGGTGAGATATTGCAAACTTTTCTACCCAAGCTGGCCTCCAGCGAAGATCCTCCCAATCTCAGCCTCTTAAGTAGTTAGGATTATAATTATTGGCCACTAACACCTGGCTCAGATACCCAACTTCCATTTTGTTTGGACAGGAATTGACAACTCCTCCTTCCTTCCCCCTCAAGCAAATAAAAGTTCTTCCTCTAGAATATTTGGAGAGGAAGACATTTATCCCCCGACTGTGCTGAGTCATTCCCCATATGGCCCTTTGATGTTGCCTGATCTAATTATGCATCTGGTTCAGTTACTTCACTTTAGCTGCATGTTGGCTTTTTTGGGACCATACTTTGTCAAATCCCAAGTAAGACTATTGGTGGGAACTACCTTCTGCTAAAATTTCAGGATTTTAAGTGTTAAGGATTAAAACATTTAAATTTTAAATTTAGCAGTACAAGGGTATGTAGCATGGTGCTACATACAATGGACAAGATATTTTAGCTTTATTTTTATTGAAAGATACCTCTGGCCATTCGTGTGTGTGTGTGTGTGTGTGTGTGTGTGTGTGTGTGTGTGTGTGTGTGTGTGTATAACTAGTAGTTGTGTTTTTTTTTTTTTTGTCTGTCATGGGGCTTGAACTCTGGGCCTGAGTGCTGTCCCCTGTGCTCTTCAGCTCAAGGCAAGCACTCTGCCGCTTGAGTCACCGCGGCACTTCTGGTTTTCTAGTGGTTTATTGGAGGTACAAGCCTCACAGACTTTCTTGCCCGGGCTGGCATTGAACCGTGATCCTCGGATCTCAGCCTTCTCAGTAGCTAGGCTTACAGGCGTGACCCACTGGTGCCCAGCTTAGTAGTTTTGTTTGTTTGTTTCTGTTGTCACAATTGAGATACCTTCTCTCTTCTCAAGATCTTGTCCATCTTCATATAACCTCACCCTGTACCACCTGAAGGAAACTCATAGATATTTTTCTTTATTATTGACACTCTCTACTATCCTCACAGGGTAGGAAAATCCTTCAACTACATTAGGTTACTTGCCAAAGAGCCATTAGATCATTGATTGAATTTAAGGATGGGCATCTACTGAGTAGATTATTATGGGTTATTTAGTAAACAGTATAATTACACATGAAAGAGAATGAGGGAATATAACTGTAACAGTGATTCTATGTTGAAAAGAGTTAACTGGTCACTGCTAACTTTGGGGATGAAGGAGTACTAGACAAGGATTGTCAAACTGTTTCAAGAAGACAGGAGATGTGGGAAAGTGTGGTCATCTTTTGAGCCTCCAGAAAGGAAGATTCCCTTTTGGCAACTTGACATCTCAAGGGGACCTAGTTTTCCACCTTCTATCCATCAAAACTATAGGAACAAATTTTCATTACTTTCAGCCACTTAATAATGGCAACTTGTCAACAACAGTAATTGGAGAATAAATATTTCTGTTTTAACTATCTATTCTCTCTTATTTCACTGTTCCCAACTTGAAAATCATTGTGCTTGACTCGGAAGGATAAACCACTGGTTGACATTGATATGGCATTGATGTGTTTCAGTTGTTCTTTGATATTTTCCAATAGGAAATCTTTACGTTTTGTTTTTTCACAATTCAGATAAATTTCGATGCTCATCTTATTTTTATTATTGTTATTATTAAATAATTGTGCAAAGGAGTGACAATTCACCAAGTCAGGTTATGAGTACAATGCTTCTTGTTCAATATTACCCCTTCCTTCATTCTATCATATTTTTTTTAATCTCATTAACTTTGACTTTCAGACTTTCATATTTTATTTAAGATAAACAGAGGCAGAAGGTATAGCACAAAACAATCTTTAGCTATCATGAACACTGGAGAAGGTGAAACAAAAAATGGAATGGACATTTTTTAATTTAAAAATTGTTTAGCATGAAGGAAGTGGAAAGATATTCCTATAAGCAGCCAAGTGCAACAACATGGCCCAGTGCATGAGATCAGAACTGATCATGAACAAATTTGTAGAAAGGTATGAGCGTCTTACCAAGAAATTTGTATTCTATCTTTAAGGTTATTGGGAGTGAACTTGTGAAGGATACTTAACCCAATAAGAACAAGACTGTGAGCAGGAAGTAATTGAGCAGGCCAAGTAGGTTATGCAGCAAGCTTAAAAACAAGGAAATGTGTTGAGGCTATGTAGTACACTAAGGGAAGGGATAATGCTCCTGGGGGATAGAAAAATATCAGAGCCATATGAAAGATGTCAAGAAAGTAGAAAAAGTATTTGTCTAATTAAATGTGGGCTATAAGACAAAAGATATCTATTGCTGTCTTAGACAACAGGATGCATGGTAAGTATGCTCGTCAGTGTGAGGAATGTAGCAGATTAGAGACAGAGCATGTGGTGCCAGGTTTTGGTTCCATTTTAATAACTCTAGACCATCCTTTTAGAATTGCAAGCTGCTATATCACTTCCTCCTTGATTCTTCTCTGTGTTCCTGTTGGACATCTGTCAGTGGTTTTCAGGACCTACTTCTGGAAGCTGATAAATGATCTA